TTACACAAGAAGGTTCTCACAAATGCCACCTATACTTCCCGCTCGATGCCTCAGCAAGAGGGGATATCCTGGTGACTAGGAGGCCCCTCAGGGCGACCTAGATATGGTATACCAGACAGGGCAGCCTGAAAGCATAAGCCCAGACGGACGTCCAGGAGATTCTGCAGTGCCGTGCCGTGCCGGGGGCCTGATGATCAGGAAGGCTCCCGCAGAAGGCTGTGACCTGGCCGCATGATCCATGAAGCATGAAGCCGAAACCAGGCTATCATACCGGCTGGACATCATATCAACGAGTGAAGTAAACACTGCAAGTCGAGCACCCGGTTTCTGAATCCAACAGAGGGGGTGCTCACCGAGGACCTACCCTAGAAAAGGACAGAAACACACAGGTCCCGGAAAACACTGCAAAGGAGCTAGCAGATGGATTATAAACACAACCACCAGCGCATTAAATACACACACATATATATATTTAGAAATGGATCGTACTCACCCACCATGGTTCCCGTGCCGGAGCCCCGTCCGAAGAAGCCTCTAGTCCGGACCATAGGTAAGGTGGTTACTATGAAGCCATAGAACCAACCAAAACATCATAGGTCCAGTATAGGAGACTGTAAAGCAGGAAGTTCCCACCTAACCTCGGTCAGGTGGAGAGATGGTGGTTACAGGGGAATTAGGAAGGGGAAGATAAGGGCAGATGTAAAACCCCCGAAGGAAATGAGTGGATACTCAAATATCACTCTGATCCGGACAAAAGCGCTGACGCCTTGTCTGGATCACATCCCTTAGGTCTGCCTACCTCCCTTTGACCCGCGATTCCTCCTACCCCAACCCGCAGGCGGGGGAGGAGCGCGAGATGTGACACTAGTCTTCTGTGCCCGTCTCTGATCCTCGAACCGAGACGGGCCAGGACCCCTGGGTCGTTCGGGCTCAGACCTGGACCTTCGTGGAATTAAGGATTTGAAGGCCGCTGAGCACGCCTTCGCCTCCCTGAACTTCTCGATCACCATCTCAATGGAGGTACCAAAAAGTTCGGAAGGCGAAACCGGAGAAAGCCCCTCTCTTTCTTCCCGATATATGCCAGGTTCACCCACAGATGTCTCTCCGTCACTACCATAGCCGCCATGGACCTGCCCATAGCAGAGGCGGCCTGCTTAGTAGCACGGAGAGCGAGATCCGTGGTGCGGCGCAACTCGGCTACCTCATCAGGAGAAAGGCCTTCGCCTTCATCCAGGTCTTTCAGCAGGTCGGAGTTAAGGAGTGGGCAATGAAGCGACAGCCCAACCTGCTGCTGCTGCGTATGCCCTGCCATTCAAGCTAGATGTATCCTGAAGAGGCTTAGATGACAAGGAGGGAGTCTTAAGAGAGGACGTCTCACCCATAGAGAGATAGCTGGCCAGCGTCTCTCTATAGGGACATCTTCTCATAGCCGTTTTCGCGCATCGCCTCAATGTTGGCATAACTCGTATGCTAGAATCGATGGATGCGTGAGGAAAAACGGCCTCTTCCATTCCTTCTCGATCTCTGTATGGAGATCAGGAAGAAAGGAAGGCTCACCTGAGCTGGAGGGTTATGGCCAGAAAGATAACGTTCATCGAGATGACCTCGCAACGTCACTTTCTTTGCCCGCTTCCATGGTAAGTAAAGCCTCGCCGTGGCGCGATCCATAACTTTCAAAAAGCTCATCATATGCAGGGCAGGAGGATTGGGAAACGCTTGCAGGACACGCAGATTGCCCCCTCGAGGACATCGCGTGCGTGCTCTTCGCCCAAACAAACAACGCATAGATCGTGTGTGTCATCAGATGTTAAATAACGGCGACACGGATGCACACATCCTCTAAACGCTTTCCTAGTGCTCGCCATAATGATATGAATAGAGATCGCTCTTACCACAGAAATGCACGCTTCAAACAAAACCGTCAATGAAGACAAAGAATAGGATGATATGTTCTCCCGGCGCCTATTTATACTATAGTCGCACCGGTAGTGATGTCGTTGTTGGTGTTTTTCAATGTATGCTTCAGACACGGGACACGACGAGGCGTTCCCCATAGCGACCCCTGGAGGACGCAGTTCGAAGTTCCCTTGAAAGGGAACCACAGTTACAATTCAGTGCCCTTTCAAAGATGTGGCACTGTTGATTTTTTTTTCTTGTCAGATATGTAGGCTAAAATAAGGCACACCCTGACCCTGTTTATTTTGAATATTTGCATTACTCTGAGTCTATTTAAACTGCAGGTAATGAGTGCTCTCAGGATGAAGGTGGAGCTGCTGCCATCTTTGCTATGCAGCTGGATGATCATCTGGGTGGAGCACCAGTCCAGTACCGTGAGGTTCAGAACAATGAATCTGTCACCTTCCTTGGCTACTTTAAAACTGGAATTAAGTACAAGGTAATAATGCTTACAGAGGACTGAATGAAAAATAATGTTGCTAAATCTGACAAAATCATTGTAATATTTGGTAACACCATATAACCCCACTCTTTTAATCATTGGAGTTGTATTATTGTGCTTTGTGTCACAAATATGCTGTCAGAAGAATATGATTTAATCTCTGCTTGCATCACTATACATTACATTTCAGTAATTTCTTTAATTAAAGCCTCTTTGATTGAAAGGTAATTAGAGATAATGGGTAAAATTTCAAAATTGGAGTTCAAGAATCTGTAAAAGTTTAAGAATCTGTCATTGAAATTCTATATTGATGGACCACTAATATAAAAAAGAAAAATAATGGGGATTTGTCAACATCAATGTGTATGGTGGCTACAGCCCTGGGCTGCGTTTCCCAATAGATTCGCCACCAATATGTCACACGTTTGTTTCTGTTTAGTTCCTGTTTGCCCTTATTTAGTTCAGTTCCTGTTCTAATTTAGTTAATCATTGTTTATTCTGTTCACCGGTGTTGATTGAGTTCTCCACCTGTTTCAGTTCTCCCTATTACGTTCCATGTGTTTATATACCCTGTGTTTTCGTCAGTTCCCTTGTCTTGCTTTAAAGTTACATTGTGGTGTTTTACTCCTATGTTCTTCTGTTTAACTCTTGGTTTGATCATTAAAGACTCACTTCCGGATTACCCTGACACTGTGTGCTTCATACCCACCGTGATACAATGGACCATTGCCACCAATGGTCTCTACGATCAAATTAGCTTATGATGCTTTTGAGAAACACAGCCCTGGGTAGTATTGAATGAGAGTTATTATAGTCCAGGATTACACATTTTTATTCCTCAAATAACAAATGTGTTTATGTAGAAAGGTGTCACCGCATTCAAATCAGTATTGGAAACTCCCTGAAAGATTTTCCCTTGCAAATTTATTTTAAGTTGTGGCAGGTTTAATGTATGTTTTGTCTGAGATGGTTTTAATAATTTAAAAAGAAGAATCAATCCACCAGAACATATTACAATGTATTGCTGTGATGAATATTTCTCAGCTCCCTTTCACATATGTGCAATTTTCACTCTCAGATTAAGTGCATTTTACTTTTTGGTATAATCTCACCTGCAATTAATTTTTGTATATCATGAGGAAATCTTTTTTATTGTAATTGTAATTCAAGACATTTTGGTGTATTTTGTTCAATAGCAGATTTTCTTTTCCCACTATACAGCAAGGTGGTGTGGCCTCTGGGTTCCAGCATGTAGTGACTAATGACATGAATGTGAAGCGTCTGCTTCACATTAAGGGAAGACGTGCCATTCGTGCCACAGAAGTGAATATGTCTTGGGCCAGCTTCAATCGCGGAGACTGCTTCATCGTTGATCTCGGCAAGGTCAGAAACACATGGGGTGACGAAATAAATTAATTTGAGAATCTCTTTACTGCTTTACTGAGAAATCCAAAATTCACAACCTCATAAATCATAATCTGATTTTCCTAGGACATCTACCAATGGTGTGGGAGTGAGTGCAACCGTTTTGAGCGGTTGAAAGCCTCTGAGGTGGCTATTGGCATTCGTGATAATGAGAGAAATGGGCGTGCCAGTCTGGAAATGGTTGAGGATGGTGCTGAGCCACAGGCTGTCCTCGCTGTAAGTCTTATTGTCTTCTACAAAACAAAACAAAATAAATTGTTGCAAGTTTAAATGTGCAGTGCAAAGAATAAGAATGTCTTTGGTTTTGCTGTGACAGGAAGTGAAAGGATAAGTAATTGGGTCAGTGGTGGCATGCCTCAGTGAGGTGTTTATTTAATGGAACAAATAAAAGACAGCAAAATAGTGAGACCAGAAACAGCACTGATTTTCTTGATCAGTTTGTTCTGGCTTTTTAAGTTGTAAACCACATGAGCTCCCCCAAAACACAGTATATACAAGTATATTGTTAACATAAAGTGGTAGAACATCAGGCTTTGGACACTTTTAAAAAAAATCCACATTCATGCATTTGGCAAATGCTTTTATACAAAGCAACTTACATAGCATTCAAGGTACACATTTTATCAGTTCATGCATTCCCTGGGAATCGAACTCATGACCTTAGCGTGATTTGCACAGTACTGTTCGAGCCCGTGCTTGATGTGGAAAAAAAGAAGTGACGGTACTCCAATCCTCCCCCCAAAAAAAAAATAAATAAGTACATTTTCATAACATATGTATATCGTGCCGATAGATAGATAGATAGAACATTGTTTAGAGCATTTTTAATATAAATAAGCACCAGTTAAGCTGCGATACCAATCAGGACCACAAGGAGATGCCAAAAGACCACTAAACCGACTGTACATGCTACTATACTGATCCATTCAGAATAACTAAACCACTGACCAGCATAATCTAAAACACCTTCAGCCAGTGTTGTGCCCAATTTCGTCCCCCTGCCAAATTATTACCCCCCTCGTTGAAGTCACTACCTGATTACCTAATCCTAACCCCACACCCACTCCTTAACCTACCAATACTAGGGGGGTAATAATCTGTCGGGGGGTGTCACAATTGGGCACAACACCCAACATTCATTATAAAACACTTGTGCTTTTAAGCCAAATACATGCTAAAAAGAATAATTTACTGCCATCTGGATGCAATCCACTATTCTCACCGCCATCTCTGATGAAATCGTTCATGTTTTCTCTGCATTAGCGCTGTTTTGAACGTATTACTTATTACTAATGCATTCCATTACTGGATCCTTGAACTTTCCAGAAGTTTACTGGTTTAAAATTACCTCCTGGGTAGTGTACTTTATAGTGTCATTTCTAATCACCCAGACACTGACGCTTTGACTCAGTACCGGCAACATGTCAGGAGTGCCGGTATGCACGAAAAAGTGCCAGTATGCTAAAGACTAAAATATTGAAGTTCAGGTACTGCGTCCCACTTCAAGCACTGGTTCAAGCTATAGAAATGTAGCTCAAAGCATGTTATTGATCTTATTTTGAACAATTCATCCATGCATGTTTCTTTTTCTTTTTTTGACCTTGTAATTTTCATTTAAAATGTCATAACTTAATCTTCCAGTGAAACCACAGACTTATCTGGTGACTTATCCTGGATTTCTGAAAATAATTTTGTCTGCATGAAACAACCTATTTCTTACAAATAACTGCAAGCTCACATTTAGATTTGCCTCCATCCAATCAACATCCGATGGAGTCCTGGCCCACATTTTCTCTTTTAGATGATCTAAGTTCAAACCTTTGCCTCATTTCCTTAACATCATCTGTAGCTACCAATGGGTCATGGTTTGCCTGGTTAGCATGATCCAGTTAGCGTCTGCTGTTAGATGCTGTAACCATCATCTTATTCCAAAAAGCAGAAGTGAGCTGAGCAACTGCCATTGAAATGAATGGGAATGCTAACAGATAGCTTTCTAAAGATACTGTAGACCATCTTTGTAGCTACAGAAACATACTCCAGTAATACAACGAAGAAACAATTCTCTGGGAATTGAACTCATAACCTTAGCATTGCTAGCACCATGCTCTAGTGTTTAAGGTACAGAAACACTAAAAGGAAGATGGAATCCATTTGTCATCGTAAATATTAGTGAATAGTAAATATTTAATACAACGAGAGTTGCAATCAGCAAAGAAAGAATCCCAGTTCATCTGGTTTTGATTTTAACTTTTTACTTGAGTTTAAATTTTTTGTCTTGGGTTGACCGCTGCCATGGAGAAAACTGGTGGAAACTCTTATTGTGTTTTATTTTTAGGCTCTTGGGCCCAAGCCCAACATCCCAGCAGGAAGTCCTGACGATGAGACGACTGATAGAAGCAATCAGAAAAAGGGCACACTCTACATGGTACATTTATATATTATGCACACATCTATGAGTTACCAGGCCAGGAGCACTGTATCATGCTAATTGTGTGGCATTCATGGTGTTTTGTAAATGTATGCATTTGTGTGTTTTGTATGGGTTAGGTATCTGATGCTGCAGGCTCTATGAAGACATCTCTGGTGGCCCAGAGTAGCCCTTTCAAACAAGAAATGCTCACTCCCACTGAGTGCTACATCCTGGACAATGGAGTGGACAGCAAGATCTTTCTTTGGAAAGGTATGATCAAATTTTATTTTGGTGTCCTTGTATGGATGCTTTTGACTTTATTGACCATTTCATCTGTTTTAACAACTAAGGACCAAATGCAAACACTGAAGAACGTAAGGCAGCCATGAAGGTAGCTGAGCAGTTTATAAAAGACAAAAACTACCCCAAAAACACACAGGTATCAGACTTAGAACTAGCACGTTAATGAAAATTAAGCCAAGTGAAAGCCAATTTCTAACTAGTCTATCTAACTTTTTGTGATCAGATCCAGGTTATGCCTGCCGGAGGCGAGACCACACTGTTCAAGCAGTTCTTCAGTAACTGGAAGGATAAGGATCAAACCACAGGTCCAGGCCAGGCCTACAGCATTGGCCGCATTGCCAAAGTTTCACAGGTTCCCTTTGATGCCTCCAGTTTGCACTCCAACAAAACAATGGCTGCCCAGCATGGAATGGTGGATGACGGATCTGGCAAGGTCCAGGTATAAATATTGAAGCTAATAACACCAAGCACCATAGAGCTGTTCAGTCTAGTCCTAAAACCCAGAAGAGAATTAGCGTTTTCCAGCCATGGGTTGCCTCCGGAATTGGTAATAGGTTTTTAGAATCGTTTTTTCATTTTAAAGGTGTGGTGACACTAGAGGAAATTCTGCAAAATTTTGCTTGCAAAAAGGTTCATTGTCCATTGTCAGTATAGTGTAACAATATATGAAGCACACGTAGAAGTCATATTCAAACTGAGCAGCTTTCTGTTGGTCAACGCAGCAAATTCTAATGACCAACTTGAATCCATAGTAGAATCTGTGTATGGAAGTCTTTCACACTTACAGGAAATTCCATATTGTGCAGAATTTCTGTTTAAATGACTCCGCTTCGACCATGAAAATTCACAGGTAAATAGTAAAATGCAAACTATCTTTGGTTAACATTACTTAACAAAGCTTTCAGTAGGCTAATCTGTTCTACAACATATACTATACACAGTTATATGCCAAACCTGATCTTTATTTTATGGTTATTAACAAATTACTACATAAAGATTGGTCAGACAGCTGTTCTAGTCCTCATGTAGCAAGTTTTTAGCCTAAGTTGCTAATGCCATATAGCATTTATTTTATGGTAACTACAAACTCATAAATGAAGCTCTATTCTAAAGACCCATTCAAACTGGCTGAACAGCCATAATCGCTAACAATTCAATAATGAGGTTGATTTTATTGTTAACTACAATGCTGCACTTGAATGAAGTCCATTGCTCCGACCTCGGCAGATATGGCGCGTAGAGGGTGGGGATAAAGTTCCTGTGGACCCTTCCAGCTATGGGCAGTTCTATGGAGGAGACTGTTACTTGATTCTCTACACCTATCGCCAGGGAAGCAGAGAACAACACATTATCTACACCTGGTAAGTCAAGATAGCCACATGTTAACATGCTGGAGCATGTGCTCATTAACCACCTGATTAGCCAATATTTACCCAATCAAGTCAATATTTAATGGCCTACTTAAATGTATTCATTTTTATATCAGGCAAGGACTAAAGTGTACACAAGATGAGCTGGCTGCTTCAGCTTTTCTAACAGTCAAGCTGGATGATTCCATGGGAGGTTCGCCTGTCCAGGTATCACCAAACACAAGCCTAGTTTCACTGTGTCTATGCCTGTTGATTATAATGAGGTATTCTAGTTTACTCATGTCTGCATTTTAGGTGACCGATGCAAGGGAATTATTAAATAGCCAAAATAATTCCAAAATAGCCTGGTGCTCTTCACTTTGTTTCTCAAACATCTTTGTTTCTAGTGCACAGTATATCTGTACCATATTGGTTATCAATTGATATAGAGATTCTTTATTGATATTGATCAATATTGGATATGTACACTTTCCTTCAAAATGTTGGGGTCTGTAAGATGTTTTAATGTTTTTGAAAGAAGTATCTTATGCTCACCAAGGCTACATTTAATTGACCAAAATATAATTAATATAATAATATATATAAGTGTGTATAAGTATGAATAAGTATATTATAATAATAATAAGTCATTCATTTTAATATATTTTAAAATTCTTTAGTCACTTTTGCTCAATCTAATGCATCCTTACTAAATAAAATTTCCTTTACAAAAACTTACTGACCCCAACTAAACAGTAGTGTATATGGGTCGAAGCTGAATATTTAATTTTGCACGATGATTTTGCCATCATCTAACATAATATCATCATCTAACATCATAAATATGTTTTGTATAAATTGTGCATCTCAATTTTATAAAGGATTTTTTTTTTTTTACTCCTGTTGTCATGCTTAATATGATGCATAGATGAGCTTAGTTTGTAGGAAATAAAAAGATCTACTTGATTTCGAATTCATTATGTCGCTCTGCAGGTACGTGTCACTCAAGGCCAGGAGCCAGCTCATTTGATGAGTCTGTTCAAGGGGAAACCCATGATCATCCACATCGGTGGGACTTCACGTAAAGGTGGTCAGAGTCAGACTGGCAGTACGCGCCTCTTCCATATCCGCCAGAGCTCCACCTGTGCAACACGCGCTGTGGAGGTCAGTGATGACGGCAGGCACATGCATGAACACAATCAGCAATGACCATCAGGCAATAATCTGACTCTCTCTCTCTCTCTCCTCACCCAGGTGGAACCCACTGCATCTCAACTGAACACTAATGATGTGTTTGTGCTGAAGAGTCCTGGCGGCCTGTTTAAGTGGAAAGGAGTGGCCGCTTCAGAGGAAGAAATGGCTGCTGCTAAATACGCCTGCAGCTTCCTTGGAGGCAGTGCAACAGAAATTTCAGAGGGCAAAGAGCCGGGTGGGTTTCTCCCTTTTGTAAATGTTCAAACATTGTAATACAGTTAAAAGGCATTCCTAAACTAATCATGTTTCCAGTTATTTCTGAATGATTGGTACTTATCTTTATCTTTGCATCGCTCAGCTGGGTTTTGGTCAGCTTTGGGTGGAAAGAAGGACTATCAAACCTCTAAAAGTCTGCAGAAGACTGTTAAACCTCCACGTCTCTTTGGATGCTCCAACAAGACTGGACGTCTAATCGTGAGTTAACATAAATTGAATTTGCAACTAATTTAAATTTCTTTGTTAAATGAATGCATACAATTTATTATGCCTCTCCTATTCCATTTCAGGCTGAGGAAGTGCCTGGAGATTTCACTCAGTCTGATTTGGCCACTGATGATGTCATGCTTCTGGATACCTGGGAACAGGTTAGCATTTGAAGTAATAATGACCTAAAGTCAACATGAAATTATGTTTGCAACACACTTTACGTCCTTAATCTAATAAACTTCTGAGTGAAACAGGATTTTCGAGCAGAAAATTATGATGAGAATAGATTTTTATATATAATCATTTGACTGGTTCTTAAAAACTGGGCATTTACATACCAGAATGAAGCCCAGAACGAAGTTCAGTTATAGACCTTTGTCAGGGTAGCACATTTCACAAGAATGAAAACGAGGCTGTGAGGGATAGAAATACAGTACGTTCAGTGGATTGTACTGTTGTTTCACAACATACCGATTGTTGACAAAGATGCTTTCTGAAAAACTAAATTATTTGATCGATGTCCATCCATCACAGCCTTGTTACCATTCCTGTCAAAAGTTGGGTAACCTGACTTGGGTCTAATGTTGATCTTTAAATGTTTAATTCAGCTTCTTAAATCTTCTTTCTTTAGGTCTTTGTTTGGATTGGTAATGACGCCAACGAGGTAGAGCGGAATGGAGCAGATAAAATAGGTAAGTTAAGATGCTGAAGTAGCCAACTTTAAAAACTATATTTATACTGTTACATTTATACAGTTAAGGTACCAAAAAGCAGTCCATGCATACCAATAATGGAGAATTACGTTTGAATTCAAATTGAATTTGTCATTAAATGTAATTGCTGATTATTAATGTGCATGTTTCTTTGCTGTTAGCCAAAGATTATGTGGATTCTGACCCCTCTGGACGCCGTGGCACCCCGGTCATCACTATAAAGCAAGGCTTTGAGCCCCCAACCTTCACTGGCTGGTTCCAGGCTTGGGACGCGAAGATGTGGGACACAGACCCACTGGATCGCATCCGTGCTCGTTTCTAAAGGCACACACATTCAGAAACACAAAGCATTATATACTTTAGAATAGCTTCCAGAATACTCACCTCTTGTGTTTCATGCATTGATGGTCTGAAAGGGATGCAGATGGGAACACAGGATGCAATAATGCTGCATGTTAAGCCACTATGTACTGTATTTAGCTACTTTTAATGACTTTTTGCCTTGTTATTCCTATGCCTTTACTTTGCCTTTTTATAAAATTAAACTCTTTTATATTTTCTTTTTATATACTTCTGTATTCCAGCGATGTTTTCACCTACATGGTCTTTATGATTTTTTTTAAATGAATATTAAAAGAAATGGAAAATGTCGGGGGTTTTTTTCAACATTTGTCTGTATTCGACAACTTGGTGCCAATGAATTGCTAAAGACTACATGTGTATGGATAATGCCTCATAAATTAGCAGATTCAAATATCTGAACATATATTGTAGTTGCTAAAAAAATATTTTAATATCTCTACAATTCTTCTTCTTATTATTATATGATTTCCCATATATAATATTAATAATAAAAACTACTAAAATACTACTGAGTTATGTGTTTGTTGATGTGGCGTTGGTATCATTTTTTTAAAATACTTTTATAATTCAGCATAATAATTCAGCATGCATTAAATAGATAAAAAGTCGTAGTAAAGACTTTTACATCATTAAAACAAATTAATATATTTCATATTTTGTGCTGTAAATGCTGTTCTTTAACTTCCTATTCATCAAAGAATCCTGGAAAAAAAAGATAATGTTTTGACAAAACTATCAATCTTCACAACTGTTTTCAGCTGTGATAATAGAAATGTTACTTAATCACCAAATCAGCACATCAGAATGATATTTCACAATATTATTGTATTTTTTGACGGCATAATAAACTTCTTTGAAAAGAAAAATTGAAAACCTTATGAATGATATGTATACGATGTTGTGTTTTATCAGATACAGTGGGGAAAAAAAGGATTTAGTCAGCCACCAATTGTGCAAGTTCTCCCACTTAAAAAGATGAGAGAGGCCTGTAATTTTCATCATAGGTATACCTCAACTATGAGAGACAAAATGAGAAAAAAAAAATCCAGAAAATCACATTGTAGGATTTTTAAAGAATTTATTTGCAAATTATGGTGGAAAATCAGTATTTAGTCAATAACAAAATTTCATCTCAATACTTTGTTATATACCCTTTGTTGGCAATGACAGAGGTCAAACGTTTTCTGTAAGTCTTCACACACTGTTGCTGGTATTTTGGCCCATTCCTCCATGCAGATCTCCTCTAGAGCAGTAATGTTTTGGGGCTGTCGCTGGGCAACACGGATTTTCAACTCCCTCCAAAGATTTTCTATGGGGTTGAGATCTGGAGACTGGCTAGGCCACTCCAGGACCTTGAAATGCTTCTTACGAAGCCACTCCTTCGTTGCCCGGGCGGTGTGTTTGGGATCATTGTCATGCTGAAAGACCCAGCCACGTTTCATCTTCAATGCCCTTGCTGATGGAAGGAGGTTTTCACTCAAAATCTCACGATACACGGCCCCAATCATTCTTTCGTTTACACGGATCAGTCGTCTTGGTCTCTTTGCAGAAAAACAGCCCCAAAGCATGATGTTTCCACCCCCATGCTTCACAGTAGGTATGGTGTTCTTTGGATGCAACTCAGCATTCTTTCTCCTCAAGATGAGTTTCTACCAAAAAGTTCTATTTTGGTTTCATCTGACCATATGACATTCTCACAATCCTCTTCTGGATCATCCAAATGCTCTCTAGAGATCACAGTGGTGTATAGACCTTGTGTCCCAGCAGTCGTAGTGTTACATATTGCCCACCACATGTCTAGACTGTAGTGACAAGTGCATCATCCTGCTGAGTCTTTATGCTTTGGATTAGCAAGTGTTTTACAGTAGCTCATCTCTCAAGCTTTATCTTCTTTCCAGTTCTCCTTAGTCTTCATTTACTTCTTGTTCTTCGTCTCACCGTATCATCAGAGAAAGCAGCCATGAATCAGAAGGTTGTACTGATCACTGGTTGTTCTTCTGGCATTGGATTGGCACTTGCTGTTCGTCTTGCCAAAAATGAGAAGAAGAGGTTTATGGGTAAGGCCCATAAGTTATCTATAGTTGTCAGAGGCGGACAGTAACTAAGTACACTTTTTGAGTATCTGTACTTTACTTGAGTATTATTTTTTCTGGGAACTTATCACTTTAACTTCACTACATTTGAAAGACAAATATTGTACTTTTCACTCCACTACATTTCTATCAAGGTCCTCGAAGTAGAAAGTCGTTACTATGTAGCAGCTTTGAAAGTCAGTGGGTGATTTTTTTCTTCTCTAAAAACTGTCTTTTTTTCAGATAGTTTATCAGTAATCACTCTTGGGGCTACATGAAGTGATTTCCCAGCATTTTTTGAACACTGACCAGTTGCAAATGTGATATTTATTTACAACAATTCAATAAGAAGAAGTTAATATTGTGGTATATATTAGACACAATATTGTCTGATTTTGCTAAATTGTGTACGTGAAAATATTACCTATGAAGCCACAGAAGAACTGTTGTGCGTCTCCTAATAAAACACAATAGCTGTTGGACTTGAAGCAGCACTGCACAGACCGTTCTGTGTGTGACATCAAAGTACCACAAGAGCAATTAGACAGCATTTTTAAACATTTTGTTTTGAGGTCAAATAAGTCTTGCTGTTTTGCTTTTTTATTAAAGCAGTGTTTTATTCCAAAGATACTACAAGCTAGTAGGTGTAATGTATTCTAAGTTGCTTCAGAAGTATTGGAAGTATTACGTACAATAAAAAAATAGTGCATTGACATAAAAAAGGAAATTTACTTTTGGTACTTAAGTACTTTTAAAAGCAAGTACTTCTGTACTTTTACTTAAGTAAACATCTGTCTTTACAACTTTTACTTGTAATGGAGTAATATTTGACCAGCGGTATCTGTACTTTCACTTTGTATGAGTACTTTGTCCGCCTGATAGTTGTATAATGGTGGGGGTAAACCAAGTACTGCTGTAAAATGTTTGCTTTTTGTTGTACTGTAAAAATAGAATAAACTGATTTTTTTTTTCTTCAAAAGATGCTATTTTCTGTTTATCAACAAAATGTCAAAAACCTAGATAGATTCCTATTTTCCACAATTATTGGTTGAAGACAATAAGTTATTTTGTTACCCTATGCTACAGTGCCCTGGGACAGTCGAGACACTAATTAGTGTGCTAAATTAGATAGGTCTACATTTAAGTGAAACACACTGACACATTTTATACTCTGACTGTACATTGTCCCATCATCAGTGCTGTCAACACAGGCATGTCCCAAAATGGTTTATTTGAAAAGGACAAATGCGAATGTGCACATGGATGGTGACAGAAGGGAATGTGAAAGAAGGGAAATATTCATTGTTGCTGGACGCTGACTGCAACTACACTACTTTTACTAAAAATGCATTTTAAAATCTTTTTTCATTTGTATCTTGTGTATTCACCTAAATAAATCAACTTTGCTTGTAGATTTGCTCAAAGTAAGTAGCTGAGTAGCTTTAATCCATTTGTCATTAAAGCTGCAGTCCGTAAATTTTGCCTCCATGTCGCCATCTCTGTTTCAAAACTTGCAATTGCAGCTGTGTGGGGAATTATCTTCCTTGCCTGGGTTGTGCCCCGACACGGCTCCAGCTCGGATAAATCTAATGTTCTGAAGAGTATGCGTGGCAGTCAGTCACCGCACCGGTATGGATATTTTACTGTTCTTCGCAATCACAGATTCTAGCCTACGTCTTTGAATATAATGACTCAAATAAGAATTTTCACCGGATATTGTCATCTGAACAAGTAACAAGTCTGCCACGTTTGTTCTGACCAATTGAGGGAAAAAAGCATAATAAATCGCGCTACCAATGGTGATTTAATCTAAAGATCGGTTAGCTCATATCACATCAAACCGTGCAAATTATTATTATTGTTATACTTTGTTCTTAAATTATTAATGTTAAAAACATCAGCATTGCGTGACTTCGAGTATAGTGTGTATTAGCATGTAGATTTCAATTTCTGTACAGTCTAATCTGTAATTCTCATACCATTCGAATTTCATATTAAGAAATTCTTTAAACCCAAAAAGCAAACTACACTCTTAAAAATAAAGTCGCTTCACGATGCCATAGAAGAACCTTTTTGTCTAAATGGTTCCATAAAGAACCTTTAACGTATGAAGAATCTTTCTGTTTCACAAAAGGTTCTTTGTGGCGAAAGAAGGTTCTTCAGATTATAAAAAGGTAAGAAAGAGATGGTTCTTTAAAGAACCTTTGGCTGAATGGTTCTTTGTAAAACCAAAAATGGTTCTTCTATGGCATTGCTTGAAGAACCTTTTGAAGCACCTTTATTTTTAAGAGTATGCTCCCTTCGAACTGGTTGTCTTTAAAATACTTGTGTAATCCCAGGCTATCTGTAATCAGAAGCACATTTAAAACTAGAAATTTGATTTAATTTCATTCACATGTGTTTCATAAACACAATTACAATCCGTCATCAAAATTTTACATTTAATTATTCCAGCTGCTGTGAGAAAAGGCTATAAACGATCGGCCACCTGCAGGATCCTCACATGCAATAGCCTATTAGCATTACGTGACGTAATGACGCAGTGCCATGCTCGAATTTCTTGCGAAAACATACCCATACCACTCAAAGTAGAAAACATTATTTTAAGCTAACCGTTGTGAATCGGGCTAAAGTAAGGCGACAGTTTTGAACACTGGCTGGTTATGTACTTGCTCAAATATTGATTTCGTATAATTTTTAACCAAAAAAAAGTTACGGACTGCAGCTTTAAATGATGACTATGTTCTCCATCTGTTAGTTGAAATCACTTTAGACTAGTTCAAATGAAAGTTAAGCTAAATGTTTTGGCTTTGGCAGTTTATGCGACCATGAGGAACCTGGCCAAAAGGGAAGCTCTGGTGGAGGCAGCAGGTCGTACATTGGGCAGA